AAGAGCGCGGCCGCTGCAGGTTTGGCGCGCTCTGTCGCTTCCGCTTTCTCTCCGGAAGGAGCCGAAATCGTTTTGACGCACGCCGTCAGTTGTGCTCACAAAATCGCAAATCTGGGTCTAAAATCTGCACAAAGGGATTTCACAAACGAGAGATCTTCCGTTTCCAGCAGAGAACAGGTAGGTCCCGGATGTGTCGCGCGCGGTAGTCGGTTTAACGGCAGTTTTGGCCCGTTAGGCCTGAAGCCTCGCGTTTGCGCTGATCATCACTGACGCAACAGTTGATTATGCCACACACGGCTTACTGGTCAGTTATTTCCATTAATGCCCTGTTCATTGGTCTTTTATCAGTAGTGAGGTGATCAGCCAGCAGAGGAACGTTAAGAGTGAGTGTTACTGCATAAGAGCTTTTAGTAATTAACAGTTACAGGTTTTTTTACGTCCCGACTCCCGAGTAATTCTCCGTTTAACTAATGCCATTGATTGCTGGTGTGCTTACAGCCATTTGCGGCGTTTATTCTCGTGACATCACTGGAGACAGGGTCACTCCTTGTGTTTTTCTGATTTCAGAGTTAGCAGGCGTCTGTGATGTCGCGGTTTTTCGCCACCGGATCTGACAGCGAGTCGGAGGAATCTTCTTCCGCCGATGAGATCACCCCCAAAGCGACCGGGACTACTTTCAATAAGCAGCAGTGAGTCTGTTTTTATGTCAGTGTGCATTCTGACTCTATGCTTTGTGTAATATTGCCTTGGCAGGGAAAAACAACAAACAAGCTAGTAAATTAAACTTCCTACTCTCTTCTGACTTCCAGCTTTCTATATTTTGTATTTTGGGAAGTTGATTTGATTTGCCAATACAGATGATTAAAATTTAAAAATATGACTGATTAATCGACTGGTGGTTTTTAAAATAAACATGAACAGAAACTTTAGCCATAATGGATAATAGTATAGAACTTTAGAAAATAACATACATGGCTTAAGCATAAAAATGTTTAAAAATTGTCAAAATTAATTGTATTTTGGAGATGCGTTCCAATATAATTTATCCGTATTTAGGGTATAGGCTTATTCTATTTTGATCTGCAGTTTACTAAAAGTTAAACAGAAAAAAAAAGACAAAAAGTAGCACTGCATGTGTTTCTGAATATTTATTTAAACAGACTGCATAATGATGAAAAACCACAAACATAAGTTATAATTAAAATACACAAATTCCTTCACAGTCTATTTATACAGCGCACATAGTGCCCTATTTTTACAGATTTTTTTAAACCGTGTATACAGTATAATTATGTTTAATTAAGCTGCGATACAGCACTATAAATTCTTAATTCATTTGCGCAAACAGCTGAAGACATTATAGGCCTATATCTCAGCTCGCCCCTCAACATGCACGCGTTCGGAGTTTCAGCAGCCCAGCACTGAATATTATATTGTGGCCGTTGTATTTTGATTCATAAAATAAAAATTAAAATACAAAAATGAAATCTAAATTACCCAGCTTCTAAATAAATAAAGCAGTTTTTTTTATTTAGTTAAAAACGGGCGAAAAGAGACTGCCGAACTAGGCTACTAGAAAGGAAAAAAAAAAAACTAATGTTTTTGCTCAGAATTTGTTTTTAATCCCTGCATGATTTTAGTCTTACATGATAAATATCAAATACGTTATAGCTTGACTACAAGTTTAAAAACTATGCTACAATTGTTATAATTAAGGAAATTAAACTTACCATTAGGGTTGTGACGGTGAGGAAGTTTTCCCACCGGTTAATCGACGTGTGACAACACCGATAACACCGGTATCACCGCAGGGGCGGGGCGTTCCCTCTTTTCCTCGCTTTCCTTTGCTTTTAAATAGCTTGTAAAAGCAGCGTGCGCATTTTACTTTCACTTTCAAATAGCGGCAATTCGGAGTAAAGCAATTGTTCGTTTTTAGTTCGTTTGAATTTTCCCTCATTTCCTCACTTTCCTTCGCTTTTCAATAGCTTAAAAGCACCGTGCGCATTTTACTTTCACTTTTGAATTAGCGGCAGTTATGCGTCAATTGCTTGAATGCAACAAAATACAACGTCAAACTCACTTTAGCCTATATATAAAACATAGAACTTTTATTAACAAAACAAATAAAAATACACCATGCTGTAGGGCAGGCTATGCCTAATATAAAATAACAAATAACTTACATAGTTTAAATAGGTATACAAAACTGGAAATAGGCTAAGTAAACATGTATAATATATAACCAAATAAATAAGAAACGTAGAACGTTTATTAGCAAAACGAGTAAGAAAGCTTGGAGGCACGGCATACACCTTGATGTCAAATCAAATAAATAAATGACATCGTTATTAAATGACATCGTTAATAAATGAGTCGTTAGTGGCAGCCCTACAAAGAATCCTGAAACAATACGTACTAGGCCTGGGCGATAAAACGGTATCGATAAGTACCATCGATAAATATTCTTCGATAACGATATAACAAATGTTTGATATAGTGCACGATATAGGCACATGCTCTGAGTGACGCAGACAGCACACACAAACATGAACACATGCTGAATTGAGTCGTCTCACCTCGCCTCACTCTTCTTGTCTGTCTCGCCTCACTCGTCTTGTCTGTCTCGCCTCACTCTTCTGGTCTGTCTCGCCTCACTCGTCTTGTCTGCCTCGCCTCACTCGTCTTGTCTGTCTCTCGCCTCACTCTTCTTGTCTGTCTCTCGCCTCACGCTTCTGGTCCGTCTCGCCTCACTCTTCTGGTCCGTCTCGCCTCACTCGTCTGGTCCGTCTCGCCTCTCTCGTCTTGTCCGTCTCTCGCCTCACTCTTCTTGTCCGTCTCTCGCCTCACTCTTCTTGTCCGTCTCGCCTCACTCTTCTAGTCCGTCTCGACTCACTCTTCTTGTCCGTCTCGACTCACTCTTCTTGTCCGTCTCGACTCACTCTTCTTGTCAGTCTCGCCTCACTCTTCTTGTCTGTCTCTCGCCTCACTCTTCTTGTCTGTCTCGCCTCACTC